TTCACCTATGAAATTCACCTATGAAATTCAACCTTGAAATTCACCTATGAAATTCACCTATGAAATTCAACCATGAAATTCACCTATGAAATTCAACCTTGAAATTCAACCATGAAGTTCACCTATGAAATTCAACCATGAAATTCACCTATGAAATTCACCTATGAAATTCACCTATGAAATTCACCTATGAAATTCAACCATGAAATTCACCTATGAAATCCAACCACGAAAATCCCCTAACGAGTCCTTTATTTGACGCAGGCTGTTCGGCAACGGAGTGTCGGAGCGTCGCCAAGGAGACAGAAGGACGCCCGCGTCGTCTCCGGCCAGCGTCGCGGCGGTGAGAAGCACGCCATCGTCGACCTCTCAACAGCAGCAGCAGCAGCAACAATCGCAACAACCGCAACCGAATCCTCCAAACCCTCCCACGTCCCCAAGTTCTCAGCCCCTCAGTCTCCAAGAGCTCACCGTAAGGACAATCACCATGACGAGAGATCCCCCGGACTCTCACCATGGCTTTGGGATCTGCGTGAAGGGTGGCAAGGACGCAGGTGAGATCCGAAGTACCTTCAGGCTTCCCCCGTCGCCGTACTTCGCGCCTCAAGATCGAGGTATCTTCCGAAACTGTGACTTTCATTGCCGTTTGACCTTCTTGGCGCCTGTGCTTAAAGAACGTCGATCGCTATCGAACGTTTCCGATCAAGCTTCTATAGTTCTCTTGTTTTATTAGACAGCTAGGTAGCTAGGTAGCTAGACAGTTAGACAGCTTGTTTATACAGAATGTATAATATTGTATATTTCGGTGACAATTGATGTATATTGTATATGTCGGTACAATTAATATTGTTATACGTAACTAAAATTGAGATTGTAAAATTGAGATTGTGAATTGAGATTGTAAATTGAGATTGTGAATTGAGATTGTAAATTAAGATTGTAAAATTCAGATTGTAAATTGAGATTGTAAAATTGAGATTGTAAATTGCGTGCGTACTATAACAGCGTTGAATCATAGCAAACTATTTATATAACGAAAGAAAATCAAGAAGTTTGGAAATAGAATCGATGGCGATCGACGTCTTTGCATGGCGACGTCCACCGAGAACTCTGGCCAGGTTCACACCCATCTCTCATTGGCAATAGTGTCACCGACGACACCCTGTGCTTCCTGTGCTTCAGCACAGCTGTATTTCCACTGCTATCCTCTCGAACTTTTCGATCGAAGGCGAATTTTAAGCAGCCAACGAACCGCTTTCACCTTAAACTCAGCCCTCAACTAGTTTCTTTTGAGAGATCAGAATAATTTTGAATCGTTCGTTGGAGGCTTGTGGATAGCAGGGAAAAATATTTCCGATCATTAAGTCACTTTCCATTCCAGCCACGGTCTTCGAATGAAAGAATTCTGATCGCGTTTCGCCTCGATTTTCTCCTTTCTTGTTCTTTTAACGGCGTTCCTTTCGCTGATGAAAGGAAAATGTTGGTTCCTTTGGACCGCGGTTCTATGGAAAACAAAATGTGAACTTGTTCTTTCTCTTTCGGAGAGGGAAACTTTAACACTAAACCTGCTGGTGTGAAACACTTAGTCTGAAGTTAAAAATGAAGTTGAAAAATGAATAAATGATAAAGCATAGATTAATGTATACGTTAGTTCTTTATCTTCATGAAGATTAGCAATGATTCTAAAAAGATTGTCCTAACAAATTTTGTAAGATAGAAACTTGTAAAAGGGTCAGACCCTTCATGTGATCATGTGAGGTTTAGTGTTAAGGCTACCTTCAAACAAGTAAACCTATTTTCTAGTCTGCACAAGTAACTTCTTGCTGCAGAGTAAAGTTAAAAAATTAGGCAAGTTTTCGAACGTTGTAAAGATTAGTGTACTTAAAATTTAATTTAGATGAAAGTATGCTGAGATATCAAACAAGTACGCTGAGATATCAAACGCGTAATCGTGAAATTCGCAAAAAGAGTTAAAAAGGTCCGCCACACTAAAAGTCAAAGACAAAAGTCTGTAGGCTGGCAAATTGCGTTCCAAGGTTCGCAATTAAATTGAGGATGACGTGGCCCGCTATCGGTGATTAGCAAAAAGCGTGAAGTGGTGGATCCGAGGGTAGACGCGAACTGGTGGCCTTGGTGTATTTACAATGGGGGCAGTTCGAGCGGGTAATTAGCAATGGCAGCTAATTGAGCCGCGATAGGATGGCGGAGGTTTAATGACGCGTCCCTAATTGCCGGTAACCGTGGCGGATTTTTTTTATCCCGCGGCAAAACGGATTAACCGGACGTGTAATTGGTGTAATCAGTTCGGAGAATCGGGTGCACGCGACGACTGGAAAAAGACGATCGAGATTCGAGCAGAATTTTTCTGACTGTTTCGAAACAAAGGGAAAGAACAAGATAGAGAAGTTTTCCAAAGAAGTTGAATAAGTTAGAAATCCCCGTTCAGGATCCGAGCATCCCTCGAGGTCCGGTTTCACGGTTTCGAGTCTCGTAAACTTCACGCTTGATCACGGCGCAGCGCACACGCACTGTAAACGATCGCTTCACGCTTCGTCCTCGTCGAGATTCGAGCGTGAAACCGAGTTTTATACTTTCAATCGTTATCGTGGATCCTGCGGGGAAACAGCCACAAACGACGTCCAGGTATTTCGTATTCGAAAATGTTACAATTTCTCAACCGAGGTTTTTAAACCGATCACAGCAATCTTATCCTAAGAGCAATCTTAAGCAATCTTATTCTGTTTACAATTCGCGTTAAAGCGTCGAAATGTCCGATCGAAGTAATAAAAATCACGTGAAACCGTGTTTAAATTTTCTTCCCATCGACTGATATTCCGAGCACGAAAGCAAAAAAAGTAGGGCGAACGATCGATCGTTAACGTTTTCGAAGAAACATCCGACGAAACCTTGGCGTCGTTTCGAGCTGGACGAAATCGAAATAAGCCAACTGGCGGTGTCTTTCTTGTTTTCTGTTTCGCTGTACCAGAAGCGCAGTCAGGTAACTCATCAACCATACGAAAGGCATAAAGAATGTAAGGAAAAACAATGAGAGCGAAAGGGAGAAGGAATGAAAGAACATTTGCATATACACAAAGAAGTCGTTGGGAGATTGAAACCTCCGAAAATTTCGAACGAAATATTTTTTAGTAAAACGCTTTTGTCAAAGTAACTGTACTCAAAGTAATAGCTTTTGAAACAAGGGAAATGTTTGTATAAATTGTCATCGATGTTCAAAAGTTAGGACAAGATGTTTAAAGTCGATGTATCGAAATTTCGAACGAGATCTTTTTTATTAAAACGCTTTTGTCAAAGTAACTGTACTCAAAGTAATAGCTTTTCAAACAACAGAAATGTTTGTATAAATTGTCATCGATGTTCAAAAGTTAGGACAAGATGTTTAAAGTCGATGTATCGAAATTTCGAACGAGATCTTTTTTATTAAAACGCTTTTGTCAAAGTAACTGTACTCAAAGTAATAGCTTTTGAAACAAGGGAAATGTTTGTATAAATTGTTACTGATGTTCAAAAGTTATGACAAGATGTTTAAAATCGCCTGTATCAAAATTTCGACCGAGATCTTTTTTATTAAACCGTCTTTTAACTATCGTCATAGTAACTGTAATTTTGTCAAAGTAATAGCTTTTTAAACAAGGGAAATGTTTGTATAAATTGTCATCGATGTTCAAAAGTTAGGACAAGATGTTTAAAGTCGATGTATCGAAATTTCGAACGAGATCTTTTTTATTAAAACGCTTTTGTCAAAGTAACTGTACTCAAAGTAATAGCTTTTCAAACAACAGAAATGTTTGTATAAATTGTTACTGATGTTCAAAAGTTATGACAAGATGTTTAAAATCGCCTGTATCAAAATTTCGACCGAGATCTTTTTTATTAAACCGTCTTTTAACTATCGTCAAAATAACTGTACTTTTGTCAAAGTAATAGCTTTTCAAATAACAGAAATGTTTATATAAATTGTTACTGATGTTCAAAAGTAATGACAAGATATTTAAAATCGCCTGTATCGAAATTTCGACCGAGATCTTTTTTATTAAACCGTCTTTTAACTATCGTCATAGTAACTGTACTCTCGTCAAAGCTTTTCAAATAACTATTTGTATAAATTGTTACTGATGTTCAAAAGTTA